GGAGGAGGAGGGGGAGGAGGAAGGAGAGGAGGAGAAAATAACATCTCCAATATGAAGTTGAGAAAACTGGGGCCTCAAGGATTAAGCAACTTGCCTTAAAATACAAGTAGTACATTTTGGAGTCGTAATATTCAAAGATGTCTTACTTCTCTCCGTAATCACCATAGAGCCCTGTTAGAATTGGGGAAAAAAATAATCCAAGGCAAGAGGAGCAAAGTAAACATGTCCATTCCTCTAGCTAATGTACTCTAAAGCCATTTGACTTAGGGGGGTGGCTTTCACATATCTTTTCAGTGTAAAGAACAGAATGGACTAAGAATATTACTTACAACTCAGAAATATAAAAAGGTTTTGTGGATAATTGGGTTGTGGCCGAGCAAATAGGCTTCCCATTCTAACTCAAGCCTCCAGTCAGCATGTGGCCCATTTTTACATCGTTCGTGATAACACTGCCGTAACAGCATCTTAAAGGACCCCGCATAATAATTCAAAAATTCTCCACATGTGGTATGAAAAGATTAGACAAGTCTTAAGCAGGCAGGGGACTTAAATCCTGCTGATAATACACTGGAGAAATTATATGCCATAAAGGCAGGGGAGGGAGCAAGGGTTTAGCAAAAGGAAGATAGAATCAGGGGACACAAACCTTTCTATAAATCAAGCCGTTCTATTCTGGGTGATTATTTCATAAACTGGGTCTTGGGCTGTTGATCTCTTTAAATGATTATTACAAAATGTATGCGCTTTTGGAAAGAGTCACTGGCTGATTTGTATTTCAGACATATTTTCCATCAGTATTTATTTATTGAGAATATGGTTTTCATAATAGAGTTGATACTTTCAAATAATATGGAAAACTTGAATTCAATTTGTATAAAAGCTATGCAATTTTAGTGTAGAATTACCACATCATATTGGGGAAAACAGTGATAAAAGGAGCTACCAAATGCATACCCAGACGAGAGCCATTTTCAAAAGATAAGATCATTTTGTCAGGGAGAGAAATAATGATGGAAATGTGCCCCCATTCCTCTTGCCTCTAAATTCTGTTATTCTTGTTAAATAACAAAATCAGCCTTTGCACTTCTTATAAAAACACAGAAAGAAGTTGAGAGAGTTCTAGAGAGAGGAGGGAGGGGAATATAGAGAAAGAAGGAGGGAGAGGGAGAGGCAGAAGGAGGAGAAGAAAAAAGGAGGAGAGGAGAAGGGAGGGGCCAATAGGAAATGAACACTGGGTCTCTAGAATGTTCCATCCCCATCAGCAATGGGTGCAGGATTGAGCAGGCTTGGAGAAAATGAAGTGTTCCTTATGCTGGAAATATTTTTAAATCACCAAAATGGCACTTTGTGTTAACAATAGAAGATAAAATACACATGCAATACCTATTAATCATGACCACATAATTTATTTATCCTAACGTCTGTAATAAGACAGCAAGAGAGCTGCACAGTACTCTTACTCAACATGAATTGAAGGAGCTGGCTAATTGTTTGAAGGTGTAAAGGATATTCTAACGTGCTGTTTTGGCAGAATTGTTCCTATCTACCTGTTTACTCAGCAAGAGAAGAATTTTCCAATGGCAATTCTCACTGAAGTAGAATCAGGTCACCATGCAAATGAACAATGGCTGTAAAGGAAAGAATTCTTACTCCATCCAGAGTGGTATGGACAGAGATGATTTAATAACACGATGCTGGGGTGAAAGGCCAAAATATAGTGAGCATTCTAAGGCCATGATCACTGTCCTTAATGAAAAAAATTCAAGGCTCCTTCATGCTTCTAAAGCAGGATGCTCCATTTTTCATTTTCTGGAGGAAAGATAACTTACATAAGACCACACTACCAATGAGCCCCGTATTTTATTCAGCCAGGCATGGAGTTTCTATTTTGTGCCTGGATGATATACCATGAGTGCGGCAGCTGTAATAAAGTGATTATTAGAGGAGGTGGGCATGATGTGATTTAGGCGTAAAAAAGGAATTAGATACTATGCCTCAGCCATCACAGGTAATGGGCCCACAGCTATCCTATGCCTCAGTTGGTAATATTTCATTTAACAACTTCTTACAAGATTCCTTACTTTAGTTGTTTTGTTACATATTTAGAATATTTGCTTCCCCAAGAAGCTGCTGATATCCATTAGTGCTGTTGCTTCATTACATACATATGTGTGTGTGTGTTTTAATGTGCCTCAGACAGCATGGAACTGTATTAGGAACATACTAGATGTTCATTAATGTAATTATAATGATGTATGTCATTGTCTTTTATAAAGCTAAATGTGATACAAATAATCACAGACTGATTTTTTTAAATTAAGAATACAAAAAATGGCAGAAAAATATTATATCCTGAGTAAATTTTTTTTAATGAAATAAAGCATTAAAATTAGTCACTGCCAAAACAGAAAATACTTTCTTGTCCTTTGTCGTGGAAATTTGGCATAAAAAGTGAGTTTAAATAAACAACAACAACACACCACTGTTAACTGATTTCCTAAACTGGATACTTAGAAACTGGTACTTACAGAGGAAAAAATAATGTTGCTCAGTATTAGAAAGCGAGGCTGACTACCTAGGATTTTTATCAGAAATGTAATCGTGGCCAGTCAGCCCTAAAAAGTGTACTAAAACCATTCTAGGCATACCATTATGGCTTAGGAAGTAAAGAATTCAGAGAAACTGGGTCTTTTGAAATGAACATGCTTTTAAGTTCTACCACTAGAAAACTAGACACAATTTTTCTTTAGAGAATTTTTGATGGGTTTTTAAACAGTCTCTCTGTAGACAACATGGCATATACCATTTTTGAAAATGGATATTTTGACCTAATTCTTTTTATTTAACTTTATAGATTAAAAAGAGCAAATATTTATAAAACTTAACGATTCCATATAGTATATGATTTATGAAGAGTAAGTCAATAAAGAAATTGATGACACAAACAGTATGTTACCAGAGACACCGTGAAGTGGACATTGACATTACCTAGTGATTTAAATCCAAACAGCCAACAGAACAAAGCATTCTTAGGAACAGAAACCTGGGAGAGGGACCCACTTTATGGGTACCTGACCGGAGAAATTTCACGAGGACCTGAGCTCAGGGGGGTCATGCCTGGAATGTGATTTCATGTCTTGCTGAAGCTGCTCAGTCCTGCAAATTACTTAAAAGAGTTCTGCCTGCAACTCTGCATTCCCTAAAGATTGTCTGCAACCTTACATCATTATGGCTTTAAAGATGCTACCTGAGGTTTTATTTCTGTGAGGCAAATATTTCTAAGACTTGTGCTGCTGGCCCACCCCTCTCTCACCCCCCAACTTGTTATCATCTTGTCTTTGTAGCAGTCACCAAGTGGAAGAAAGAATGGAGATGCTGCCAAATGTAGACCATGAGACCAGCACCCAGACGATATATCTGAGCGCACCTGCTCTCTCTTCTTCAACATTTTAAGTTTTAAATAAAATAAGGCTGGCGAACTGCTCATCAGTCATCAATCTTTTCAAAATGACATTAGAAATTTAGTAGAGATCAACATTTTGTAAGATCAGAAGTATTTTTCAAAGGTATAGCTTGGGGGCTGTTCCTTCACAAAGGTAGAGATCACTGCATGATAAGTTGGCCAAAGAACACTGAGCTGTTTCACTCTGTGATCACGCAGCTCAGTGGAGTGGTTTGTTCGCAGACAGTGCAATTGCACAATAGGGATCGTCTCTATATATTTCTTGGTCTCAGTTCCCTCTTGGGAGCTTCTTGAGGGCATTGGGTGCATGTTTAAATTCTGTACCAAGTCCCTGCATTTAGAAGTCCTATGCCATGGTTATTTTACCTTTGATGCTCCATTCTCATAGACAAACTTGGGAAATCTGAAAAAATCAGTGGAGGAGGCTGAAACCCCATGTTGACTATGAAGTACTGGCAGGTAGGGTAAGTCACTCACTCACGTAGGAAGTAAATACATAGACTGCTTGGGAAATCTGAAAAAATCAGTGGAGGAGGCTGAAAGCCCATGTTGACTATGAAGTACTGACAGGTAGGGTAAGTCACTCACTCACGTAGAAGTAAATACATAGACTATATGGAAGGATTAGGCTTTTGTAGTTGTTAATTTGCCAGTAAGGAGACATGGCTCAAGTGGGGAGGCCATTTTGTTAACAGTGATCATACCTTTAAAAATCCTTGAGTTAAATACATTGCTTCAAACATCTTCCTTCCATTTTCTCAAGAAATTTCTAAGAAAGTATTCAAGGATATGGCTGGAGAAGATAAACACTTTCTAAATGCCACCCTTCCCTTTCATACTCACACTCAGGCTGAGTGGCCACTTTGATGGGTTGCGAACTCTCCCCCGGACCCCACTCATTGTAGGCCACCACGCGGAAGGTGTACATGGCTTCTGGCTTCAGGTTCCCCACGGTGAGCTGAAGGGACCCAGGCTGGGTCGTATTCAATGCTCGTTCCCTGGGAAATCAAAGTTATAGGGAAAGATTAATCCAACACCCCTACTTTAGCCCAAACCTTATTTAATGTTCAAGAGTAGTGAGGTAGAAAAAAGGTGGCTTCCTTATTTAATGTTGACTCCGGGACATAATCCAAGACCTCTGAGACTTACTATGGGAAACAAACTGAGGGCCTACAAATGAATGTTGCAGGGTGACTGGGGAATTCGAGTTTGTGCCATTTCCACGAAACTTGCATATTGAAGTATTTTCCCTTTGACACTTTATAAATTTGAATTTAAACCTTATGACACAGAGCTATTAAAATAAGAAGAAACATCTGGAATGCATTTCATAAGCCTCCAGCTAATGACAGAAAATCAAGGTTTCAATTATTTCACAAATCGATCTTTGCCAGTAATGCCCACAAATGCATTTCTGCATTTCCTTTCATTGTACACAAGGAAAAGGCAGATGTTAAGTGTTGATGTGTGTGGAGCATGAGCTCCCGTGGTTATGTGAAGAGCAATTAGTAAATGGAAGTGGGTCCCCTTCTGTGCAGAAACAACAACACGTCTCCTTGCCTTGTTATTCAAGCACCGCCTACAGGTGTCCAACTATTTCCAAATTAAAACTTCCTCAATGGTTCCCAACAAATGAATCAATCTGCTGATCATGCTGAGATTTATATACGTATTAAGAGAAAACAAACCCTATGGACCTGTGCTGATATGTGAGAAACAAGAACTGCTAAACTCCTCTTTAAAGACACACATGATTTTAGACCTTTATACCCTCATTGGCTTCATATAATTGATTGACTGGGTGAAGAGGGAAATCCTTCTAACCCACTCAACTGTTTCTTAACATTTCTATCTAATCTAATAAAAGAGAAACATGCAAATTGACCATACCTTCGCTACCCCCCAAGCCACACCCACCAGCCAATCAGAG